TCATGTAGTTAGAGGAGGTCAGGTACCGTCCTCATGTCCCCACATTTTTTAAACACCATTAGAGATAGCTCAAATAGCAGCAAATTGAAAAAAAATGAAGGCTTTCGATGGCAGATATATAGATGTAGATACACACACACATATATATAGTTCCCTTTTTGTTTTGAGAATGATGAGGGCAACAAATGTGCAAATGCACTTGACACAATGGATGGATGGATGGATTGTGATAAGAGTTGTCTGAGCCCCCAATAAAATGGTTTGTTTTTTAAAAAAAAACTACATTTGAAAATCAAGTCCTATGAAAATACAAATCCTTCATAAAAGAGGCTAAAACCAGAACTTGAACATTTGGTGTTTGACCCCAGACACTCTTCTTGGCCACACTGAACAAAGCTGCGGTTTCTAGTAATCACACCCCAGATCACCTCCTGTGGGGAGCTCATTCTTCACCTGTCTCACCTGAATGTCATGAAAAGAAAGAAACTTTATATGAAAAGAAAAAATCTGAGTTGGATGGATGGACTTAGCCAGTAAAACTACATGATCTCCCAATTAGATTTGAAATTTTGATAAAAGCAAATATTTTTGTTTTAAGTATACAATATTTGGGAAATATCTGTGTTAAACTATTATTCTTCGTTCATTTAGTGTTCAAATTTAACTGAATGTCATGGGCTTTATCTGATAGCCATAATAGCACACCTTTGTCCATCAAAGAAGTGGCCATTAAGCAAAAGTCTGGTGCATTCATTTTCAGACAGGTCCAAGCAGCTCCATTGATAAACTGAGTTTTCTACAAACTATTTCCATTCTAATTTTTTCTGTATTAAATTTAGAAATAAGAGGTGGCACCCACAGAATGTGAGCATTGCTCATTAGGAACAGAAATTACTTTCAATAATTGCATTCAATAATATAAAAGTAATCAAAGTAAGTTTCTCATTAAAAATAAGAGCTAAGTGTTGTTTGCATTAAAAAAAAAACACACACACAGTCCACAAGGAAGAGGATTCAGTGTGTGTGTGTGTGTGTGTGTGTGTGTGTGTGTGTGTGTGTGTGTGTGTGTATTTAGAAGAACAGGAAATACAAAAGGAATACACCAGAAGCAGAAAGGAAATAAGACAGGGAAAGTAGGGAGTGAATAGATGAGTAGACAGTGCAGGGACAGATTACAATGCCCTCTTAAGATGTGTGGCTTATGCATTGCACAAAGATGCTTTCACAGGGGACAGAAAAGAGTAGAAACCTGACCCCACTCTCCATGAATAGTCCTGGTCCTGCCATTTATCCACCAAGAAGAAACACCATTTATCCACCAAGAAACACAAGAAGAGCCGAGTGCATTAAGGAAACAAAGCTAGGATTTTAAAGATTCCATTCTTTGCAGCCTCCTGGGGTCTTTGTCCCGGTGACTAGTATCAGTTATGAGAGATTCACTTGCCTGGAGTCTTGGATCTGTTTACCCAAAGTTTGTGTAAGTGCGCTGCCTTTTTCACCGTTTCATACATGTTCTTGGCAACATCCTGCATCTCTCTTAAAAAGGCTAGGTGGCTAGTTTTCTTCATGTTGTGGTCAGCTGCAGTTTGGAACCTAGATGACCTTTAGAAAAAAATAATAAATAAATACTACAAAAGGAATTTTATTAAGGGCATAAATTGCCTTTGCATGTTTGATTATCCATACCAAATCATTTTCAACTAGACTTACCAGTAAACACTTTCACCAACTCTCCACAGAGGCCAATCTCACTTGAACCTCACCAAAAATGAAAATTATCCTTAAACAGGTCTGCTAATTTAAAACTAGAAAATTGTACTTTTTCATTTTACTGTCTATAAAACCCACTCATTTCACATGTTTATGAATTCTTTGATTTTCTTTGTTTATTCAATGTATATTGCACATTACACACCACGAGAGGTGGAGTTCCTCAGGGGAACAAATGGTTATCATGCTGGGCTACTGTTGCAGGATATAAAAGAGATATAAAATCTAAAACATAATTAAAGGAGAGCACTTATTAAGTCTTAAACAAGATGAGACTATTTGTCTCTGCCAAGAACTGTGCTGGGGATCCTGTTCTGCTGGCACTCTTTTCCCTCTTATTCATGAGATTTGCTTCTTCTCTCTCTCTTCCTTTTTTAGGTTTGCTAGTGGTTTGTCAATTTTGATAATCCTTCCAATTAGCTAACTTCTTGCCTTATATATTTTTAATATTGTTTTTCTATTTTCTGATTCCTTCATTTCTTGTATGTGCTTTATTGTTCTTTCTCTTCTAATGGCTGAAGGTTTCTTCTGCACCTCTTGTTATAATTGTTGAAGATGATTGATAAAGATGTCATTTGGGGTTTTTCATTTGATGTATGAATTTATTGCTTTAAATTGCCCTCTGAGGACTGTTTTGCTGTGTCCCAAAAATGTGGGTACAGTATATTTTCACTCTTGTTTGTTTTAAGGATTTTTAAATGTTCACGTTTCTGTTTTCCAGTTACATAATAGTTTGCAAGCAAGATGCTAGTCCATTTCTATACATTTGCTTTCCTTTCATTGATCTTCATATTATTCACTTTTAACTTTATGGCATAGTGATCTGACAAAATGGTTTGTAAAATCTAAATAATTTAGATTTCAGATGTGGCACCAAAAAAGTACATGAAACTAAAGGGGAAAAGTAGATACAATGGAATTTATCAAAATGAAAAAAACACCAGAATAGGACAAAAGTTTGTGAAACACACAAGTTAGTTTAAAAAAAAAAAAAAGCAAACGAACAACAACCAAAAAAAACATTACTTTTAATTCCATTTTGCCACAAACTTTTTGAAAGTCCTTTGTAAATCTGATGTGTATGTAAAATGAAGTCTTGCCATCCTTGCCACAAAGAAGCACTCTTGCCTCACTTCTTCCAATTCAGATGGGTTTGTCCTTTTAGCAGCCCATGGTACTTTCAATATTCTTCTCTAGCACCACAAATCAAAGACACCAATTCTTCTATGGTCTTCCTTATTCAATGTCCAACTTTCATATGCACATGATGCAATAAAGAATACCATGCCTTTGGTCAGGCACACCTTAGTCCTCAAAGTAATATCTTTGTTCTTCAATACTCTAAAAGGTCTGGCAGTAGATTTACCTAATGTTAACACATCTCTTAATTTCTTAACTGCTGCTTCCATTATTACTGATTGTGAGTTTGAGTAAAGCAAAATCCTTCATAACTTCAACATTTTCTCCATTTATCATGATGGTACCTATTGGTCTAGTTGTGAGGATTTTGGTCTTTCTTATATTGAGTTGTAATCTATACTGAAGGCTACAAGTCTTGATTTTCATCAGCAGTTGTTCAATTCCGCCTCACTTTCAGCTAGCAAGCTTGTGTCATCGGCAGACCCCAGGTTGCACTGCACTTTTCTTCATGTAATTCAGCTTCTCTGGTGATTTGCTGAGCATACAGATTGACAAGTATGCTGAGAGGACACAACCCAGATGCACACCTTTCCTGATTGTAAGCGATGAAATACTCCCTTCTTCTGTTCTTACAATAGTCTCTTGACCCAAGTTCTGAATGAGCACAATGAAGGATTCTGAAATTCCCATTCTTCTCAAGGTTATCTGCAATTTATTATGGTCCACATAGTCGAATGTTTATGTATACATAATGAAACACAAGTAAACATATTTCTGGTGTTCTCTGCTTTGAACCAAAATCCATCTGACATCAGCAATGATATCCTGTATTCCACGTCCTCTTCTGAATCCGGCCTGAACTTCTGGCAGCTCCCTGTCAATGTACTGCTGCAACCATTGTTAGATAATCTTAGGCAAAATTTTACTTATCTGAGAAATCAATTCTATCATTCCACAGTGTGAGCATTCTGCTGGGTCACCTTTCTTTGGAATGGACACAAATATAGATTTCTTCTGCTCAGATAGGCAAGCAATTTTAACCACCAACCACCAAAGCTAGTGATGAAGAAATTGAAGAATTCTACCAATGACTTCAGTCAGAAATTGATCAAACATGCAACCAAGATGAATTGATAGTTATTAGGGATTGGAATGCAAAAGTTGGAAACAAAGAGGAAGGAACAGTAGTTGGAAAATATGGACTTAATGATTAAAAATGAAACAAGAAATTGCATGTTAGAATTTTGCAAAACCAACATCTTGTTCATATAAAATTCCTTTTTTATGACAACACAAAATGTCACTATGCACATGGACTTCCCCAGATGGAATACACAAAAATCAATTGACTACATCAGTGGAAAGACACTGTGGAGAAGCTCGATATCTGCAGCTAAAAGCAGACCAGGGGCCAACTGTGGAATAGACCATCAACTACTCATACATAATTCAGGATAAAGCTGAACAAAATTAAAACAAATCCACAAAACTCAAAATATGACCTTGAGTTTATCCCACCTGAATTTCGAGAAAATCCCCCTAACAGATTTGATGCATTAAACACTAATAACAGAAGACAAATAGGTACATTTTTTTAAATGTACAAGTTCCCTAGTCATAAAAGACATTCAAATCAACGACAAAATGATATAAAATCTCACAGCCATTAGTATGACTGTTGTTATAGATTGAATTGTATCCACCAAAATATATAAGATAAATCTGAAATCCCATAATCTTGGTTATAATCCCATTGAAAAATGAGTCTTCTAATGGTACAGAATAGAGAATTCAGAAATAAATCCATCCACCTATAGAAAAATGACCTTTTTGACAAAGAGCCAAAAAAGATTAAATAGAAAATAGATACTCTCTTCAACAAATGGTACTAACAAACGGGGATCTCTGTTTGTGGAAGAATGAAAAGGAGCATTCCTCAACCCAAACACAAAAGCGAACAAACATCCATCAAAGACCTAAATGTAAATCCCACCACCTTAAATTTAAAGCAAAGTTTAACCATAAGCTTAGAAAAACTTAAGTTTTCACAGGGAAACACTTAAGTGCCCTAAAGCAAAGCATAGACACACTTATCATGCCAAATATAGCAAACTCACTTCATTAGATCTGAATTATCAAATGTAATGCATGAAACACTGCCTTTTTGTTGTTGTTTGTTTTATTTGACAGATGAGTGAAACCTTATGTGTAGCAAAGGACATCATCAAAAGAGTGAAAACACAACCCATGTGGTGCGAGGGGGGAGACTGACAATGATAAAAGGACAAGGACCTAATCTCTAGAATCCATAGAAAACTGTAACAGCCCAGTAATAAAAAGATGAATAACTCAATTAAAAATGAGTAAAGTATAGGACCATTCACCAAAGACAACATCCAAATGACCAGCAAACATGAAGAAATGCTTATAATCACTAGGCATTCAGGAGATACAAATCAAAGCAATGATGAGATATTATCTTACACTGGCATTGACAACGAAGTTCAAAAAAACAGAAAATAACAAATGCTAGAGAGAGTGAGGAGATACTGGGACCCTTGTATACTGCTGGTAGGACTGTCAATACATAAAGCCACAGTGGAAAGCAATAAGACACTACCTCAAGCAACTGATAATCAAAATCCCATACAATCCAGCAATCCCCCTACTGGATGTATATCCTAAAGAAGTAAGAGCCACAATATGCCACTCATGTTCACTGCAGAATTGTTCACAACAGCAATAAGATGGAAATAACGAAAATGCCCATGACTGGAATTATATACAAAGAAATTCTGGTACATACATACAACGGAATACAATGCTACTATGCATAGCTAAAGAAAACCATGACAAAATCATGAAGCACCTCATGACATGAATAGATGTTATGCTGAGTGAAATTATCCACTCACAAAAGAGCAAATATAATGACACCACTGCTTATAAGGGAGGTGGTGGGCAAGATAAAGGCTCTCAGACCAAAGGGAACAGACTTTAGAGGTTACCAAGTTCGGGGAAGGGAGGGAAGAGGGGATGGGGCAATGGGCTGGACTATTGATGCATATATCAACTTAGGTTGAATAGAAGATGGTGGTCCATGGCAGGTGGGGAGCGGGGGTATAATATCTTTTATATTGCACACTTCAAAATGTAAGCACCCTTTATAAATATTATGCCAGATGTATGCACAATTATCTGGAGACTAACTTTCTTCATTCAGCCTAAAATTAAAAAATAAAGATGACACATTTTATATGTCTTACATTTAAATAACTTGGATTTTTCAATTTTGGGTTGTTCAGTAGATAAAGCAAAACCTACCCCATTTATACCTGATAAATACAAACTATCACACCCAGTCATAAACCTTATTCCCAATTGCACTTGAGAGAAGTTTCCAGAGCACTAAAGATCCTCCAGGTAAACCCATTCTCTTTGACATTTGCATGAATCACTTGCTGCTTTCTCCTTTTGATATTCAAAGCCATTCAAGGCTTTAGTAACCATGGCATGGCTTAGCATTGAGAGAATCAGAGTAAGGATGAACTAGTGTAGAGTTCGTTTAGAAGGAGCCTTAGTGGTGCTGTGGCTTAGGCATTGGGGGTGCTAACTACAAGGTCAGTTAGTCTGCCAGTCACTCCATGGAGAAAAAGCAGGCTGTCTGCTACCAAAAGATTTACAGTCTCATTTACCCTATATAAAGTCACCATGCGTGGGAATTACCATGATGATCCTGGATTGGGACTTTGTTTAGTCCATTTAGGGACGTACATTGAGAATTAAGAAACAGTTGACCTTTGCTTTCATTTTATTTCAGCTTGGAAGAGGGTGCTGGTAAACCCGGTAGGTAGCTCACTAAACACTTATCTTAGGGATACTGACACCAATTAAAAAGTTGGTTAAGTAAGTCATATTGAGGTCAGGGTTTTAACCTACAGAAAGTATATTATGATATGCAAAATGTTTTCGGTAGTTAGCACTTACTCTGTGATTCTTAAAATAGCAATGAAAAGATCTCCTACCAGAAAATAGCCAATAGTTGTAGCCAGTACTGCATGTCTGAAATTAATAAAATTCATATTACCCTGAATTCTGTTCATCTCAGTATCTCGAAATTATCTGAAACCATTGAGCCTTGATTAAAAGCACCATACTTGTTCTATGCACCAGCTTTCCATGAATTCTGAAAGAGTGTTTCTCTTACCAAAACTGGTGCTCAGCTGGCCCTTCATAGCTTATATTCTGGCACTGTGACCCGGTGTTGCAAAGAAGGCTTTGGACAAAGGGGAAAACACCCCTGCTTGGCAGGTCTCGAGCTTGCAAGTAACCTGGAAGAAAAAAAAATGATTACATGAAACTTATAGCAAAACTTGTGCAAGTTACTCAACTCACTGCCGTGGAGTCTTATTTCGACTCATAAGGACAGTGCAGGATAGAGCATCACTATCCTTGTGTGTTTCCAGGGCGACAACGCCTGGTCTTTCTACTGTGGAGAGACTGCTGGGGGCTGAATGACGGTCCTTGTGGTTAGTAGCTCATTGCATAAGCTGCTAGTCCACCTATTTTAACGTTTTATTGTTTTCTTGTGGTTTTTTTGTTTTGCTTTTGTACATCGTGTAGTTAGTAATAGATACTACATACAATGTTGTAATGCATAATTTGCTATCACTTTCAGATGTCCGTTTGCAATGTTATGACTAAGTTTTCAAAACACTGCTATAAAGCATGCTACAAAAACTAGGAAGAAAGAGGGAGACCCTCCAGAAGTAATCAGAATGCAATTTCTTCATATGTCAGGGACTATCTATATTTATGAGGACCTACACTTTTCAGCCTCAAAATGATCCAATTTGATTGGATAAATTTACCTATTTTCTAGATTTAGCATACACATATGAATATTTTCTTAAAGGTGATAGGCCTAAAATGACACCTGTTAGCACATACCCTATAAACTACTACTATTGTGATAACACACCCACTGCTGTAGAGGCTACTACTCATAGGGACCCTTCCCAGGCTGCGAATCTTTACAAGAGCCTAAAGCCTCGTATTTCTCCTGCGGATCATGCAGGGAGCAGTCCGGCATATCCAACATTGCGATACTGTAAGACACTCAGAATTCAGATTTTATAGAGTAAGTGGCATTATTTATCAGAAGTGTGTATTTTTAGAAGTATAAACAAAAGCGAAACTTACAACTGTCTCTATGTCTAGGAGGTTCTTGAAAACGAAGTACTGTCAGAATCAAAAACAGGATGCATGGCCAGAGAAATTCAGCCAGGGAGAGAACCTGGGGAAAGTTACACAAAAAGGTATTGATTGAACAAATTGTAAAGCATTAGGTACCTCTTCCCTTGAGAGCAAACACTCCCTTGTAAAAGAGGTCATTGCCATCCACAGTGTGCACTACGTAAAGAATGAACCCTTTATGACTGAGGCTGAGAGGGCTCCATTCATTTCTCACAGTGTCCTTATGGATGACTCGCCTCGCCTCCCACCCACCTGGCCTCTTCTTCTCTTTTCCCTCCATGTGTGCATGTATTGACCTTACAACAGTAAAAAAATAGCTACGTTTATTCATTTTTGTCACACTGCAAATAACCAATTTCTTTTCTTTTTCTAATATATTTTACATTTCTGACTTTTCCATCCAAATAAAGATTTGCCAGAGTTGGTTCTTCTCGTGTACCTTCATCTTGTTTTCCAGTGCTACCGAAATTAGAGCTTCAATTCTGAGCGCCCCATTTGCAGAAGCCTGTTGTTGGCTGTTAAAATCCAAAGTCCATTTGCAGAGTGCCCTGTAGATGAAGCCTTCATGAATTTCTTCTGATCCTTAAGCAAGGCAGAGTGCATCAGAAAATGGATTACCTCCATCTTCTCCAGCAGCCCAGGGGTGGTGGGGGTGGGGGTGCAGTGTCTAAGGGGCTTGATTGGGTGTGTCCTTGATGGACAATACTGGCGGGTCACATAGTCATGAGTTGTACCCTATCAGTAGTTCCCTGACTGTGTTGGTAGAAGTCTCTGGACTAATCTTGTAAGCACTTCTACCTAACATGATGTATGCTTCCCACGCCTCCCAATTCTGCTTCTGTAGTCCCAGCTGTTACTGTGATGTATTCATCAGCATCATGGATTTATGATTCTTTCCTTATTTCATGCCTTATGTAACTAGCATCCTGATTGTGAATCCTTGAATGCCATTATAACCTTCTGCTAATGGTCTTTTGTGTCTTTGTATCTTTTAAGGCTTACTAATAAATGTTCTCCTTAAATTATATTTGATAGAGGTGGATCGTTTGTACCATGAAACATACCACATGAATTCATAAATATTATTTTCCTAGTTGTACATTTTTATCAAATGTATTCATATACCCATACTATCAATGAATATTTTTACATAAAAATAGTTTCTCTTTTGAGCGACTTCCTTGAGATTGGAAAAAACTCAAAATATAATTGAGATCAAATCCCTTGATAGAAACCAGAAGACAGCTACCAAAAGGATTGTAAAACTTTGAGCAACTTGAATTTTCAAAGGGAAAAAAACAAACAACTATCATTGATACATGAGTTTTATTTATTTGGGAAAGATAAACTACCTGCAAGGTATAACTAGATTAAACATTAATTTTTCAGAAATCCTCAAATCTAATAAAATTATTTTTTAATCAGTTGCTTTTATGATTCATAATCCTCTATTGACTTCAGCTCATATCATGGTACACATACAATTATTTTATAGCCAAGAGCTAATGCACAAACACCTAAACCCCTGCTAGTTAAGAAACCCACAGTACTTACCCAGTAAAGAAGGTGTGGAACTCAAGAAGGACACTATTTCAGACTCTGCTACAAAGCTTTAAACTAAATTAAACTTCTGGTCGCTTCAGCCCTTACTCTTTAAATGAGATGACCCGAATCCACCTGCTCCCATTCTTCCTTTGAAGGTCAAGCAAACTACGCTAGGTGTGGCCAGGTGAGTGTAACGTGGCCGAGAGCACAACTACAAAATGGGGATAATTACAGAAGAAAAGAAATCATCCACTTCAAAATAATGCATAGAACAAAGTATATTTTGTTCCCAAAGTGCCTCATTGTGAAAAGTTGCAGGACAAATGGCCGAAACCCAATATCACACATACTGATAGCAGAGAAAAAGCCTGCGGAAGATTATCCTGCGGTTCAAGGAATCACAAATAAAGAGGAAAGGTCAAGAACACTCAGCAGACTGAAATCATTTAAGTTAATTTCGTTTCTTTTCTTGAACAAATTAATGTAGTGGAGTATGGATGTAGAGGGGGGAGGGGAGCATTCTAGAAATAATTTTGAAAATGTGAAAAATAGGAAATGTACTTTTTTTTTTTTTGCTGCAAAAGGAAGCTTTATTGCTTCCATTTGGTCCCAGGCTTGGGGGAGGGGCTCCAGGGCGGTGGCGCGGTGGCGCTGTGGCTGGCGGGGCGGGGAGCAATGGGGGTGGCAGGGGGGAGGCAGAGGGGCCCTCACAGGTGGCTGGCGGCCCGCAGGGTCCTAGTCCTATTTGAGGGTGAGCCTCTCCAAGATCCTCGCCCCGCCCGGCCTGGGGGCTGGCCGGCCTGCGGAGGTGGGTCAGGCGGTCGCTGATCTCCTTGAGGAGTTTCATCCTCCTTGTCCAGGAAATGGTTCTCCAGAAAGTCACCGAGCTGGGGGTCCGCGTGAGTGGACCCCACGGCCTGCAGGTCCAGAAGGGCCTGGTTGCGGGTCTTCTCCAGGGCCAGGGCCGCTGCCGTGGCGTCCAGGGTTCAGCCCCACTCATCTTGGGGCGCCTTCTGCACATCCTGGAGGAGGCACGGCCGCCGCGCTGCTGCTGCAGCTTCCAGAGACACTGAGCCCGTCGCACTTCACCTTCACCCGCTCGCAGAAGACGTGTTCCGCCTTCCAAGGCCACATCGTCGCGGTCGAAGCCCAGAGAGAGGCAGGCGTCAGAGGCCCGCAGATGCAGGCTGACCAGACTGGGGACGCCAGCGGCCTCAGCTTCAGCGGATCTGAGAACTCATGATCGGTCGGTTTGGAGGTCACCACACACCAAACAGAAGTGTTCGCTGGTCCCAAGAAGAGGGGCTGGCCAAGAAGATGGTCCTGAAGTTACTTCCGGAGCGGAAACTGGAGCGAGGTGGAAGGTTGGAGGCAGGGAGTCCCCTGACCTGTCCCCTTCAAACACTGTTGAAGCAAGACACAGATCCAGGGGACTCCCCGGAGAGCTTCGGAAATGTACTTTTTATTAAGGTATTTTTTCAAAATCAAACTAAAACCCATGCCTACGACCATCGATTCTATTTCTATTCAGGTTTCAATTAGAAATAAAATGATTTATAGACTCGAATCCAGAGAACTCTTTCGGATTTTATAAACAAATGAGCATGCATGCAGTTAGGATAAAGGTGGCTTGTGCGCCAGTGGTTTGCGTTTGACCACTAAACTTAAGATGGGCAGTTTGAACCCATACAGGACCCCCACAGAAGACAGGCCTAGGAATCAGCCTCCATAATGATTACAGCCAAGAAATCCTTATGAATCAGTTTGATTATGCAATTCATGGAGTCACCATGAATTAGGATCAAGGGCAATGGGTACCTTGAAGGGTTTTTTGCTTTCTTTTTATAGTTTGGAAAACTTTCAAGTAGAAAGCTTTTATAGTTAGGAAATATTAAGTACAGAAAGAATATAACACCACTCCCCAAAAAAATACTTAAAAATTTTTTAATTTTCATTTTAAACACTGAACATAGATAGATAAGCATCGCTCACTCTCCCACACTGCCACCAAGTCTTTGCCGATTTATAGCAACCCCACAGGACAGGGGCAAACTGCCCCCGTGGGTTTTCAAGACTGTAAATCTTTGCTAGAGTAGAAAGCCTCCTCTTTCTCCTGCAGTGTTTGGTGATTTCAAACTCTTGACCTTGAGTTTAGCAACGCAGCGCAACCGCTGCACCACCAGGGCTCAACTATAGAAGCATAATTGGTGATTTTCGAAATGGTTATTATATCCACTCTTATAAATCTTTCACATTCAAAGATTACATAATACTCTACTGTAGAAATGATTTAACCAATGTTCTAACAATGAAACGTTTTGTGATTTCTTTTGGGGGTCAATGCCATTATAAATTTTAGTTACTTATTTGGCTGATGTTTTGAAGTCTATCTGGTGAAATTGCTAATAGAATTACTAAATCAGAATGTATCGAATGTTTCATTTGGATAGATGCACACAATATGCAATACACAAAAGTTGAACCAATTATACATAAATTAATTTGTTTTCATGTATATAAATTAAATGCAATTCACTTCAAGTATGTGTTTTTTTGTTGTTGGGTCCTTTTTAGTAAATTGTAACTCATAGCGACTGTATATGACAGCAGAGAATGCCTCCTAGGGTTACTTGGGCTGTACTTTTTATGGGGGTGAACTGTCCGAGGTTTTGCTCTCCCAAGGAGTGGTGGGTGGTTTCCTCTCTCTAACCTTTTGGTTAGCAGCCCAACATTGAATCATTACGCAGTCAGGGCTCCTGTACATTCCCAGTGGCACGAGGGCTTAAACATGGACATTTTTGTCAACTTAGAGGGAAAACTACGACATTATGTTCAAACATTTTATATAAATTAAATGCATACGTAACCAATTCCTGATATGTTTACTGCATGTTCTTTTGGTATCCATCGTTGGTTCTATGTATTTCAAATATGTTTTCCAATATTTTGCTAGTCTTTTTGTTATTTAAATCCCTTATGAAATCAATTTATCAATATATTTAAGTATACCACCTGGAATTTTTCACTCTATAAAGAGATCACATAATTTGTAAAGGACTTTGTCAAGGCCAAATTAAAATACAAACTAAAAAATAGCTCGGTTATCAAGTTGATTTTGACTCATAATCAGTGGCAATTTTGAAATTTCAAATACTTATTTAATAGTTCAGTCAGTATCTGTCAATCCAGAGTAAGTTTCTAGTGCAAATACAAATAGCATTTTACAAAATAATAAAGTGCTACATCTTATAAAACTATTGAGAATATCCTCTGAGGACCTTAAATTAAAAATAGATGTCTGATCAAAACATAAAATCAAAAGCATGAAATAAGTCTGGTTTTAAAAGCCAGTCAATCATTGCCACTTCTAGAAAGCACAAAAACAGGGAAAACTTGACTCTCTTTTGAGTTTGAGATTACTCCATTCCAAAGACTAGGCTCCACCCCTCAAGTCAGCTGCATCTTTACTCGTAGGAGATGAGTGAATCAATGTCT